GTAACTGCTGGTCTCTCCAACCTTTACACACACATGGAGACAAAGACGCACACATTCAAGCATTCATCTTCGCATACTTGTCGATTGAGTGATAAGAAGAAAAATCCAAATCACCCTAAATTTCACAAATCTCAAATCGTTTGAGGAATGCATAAAATCCAACATGTGATTTTTCTTGACTCGTCATCTACAATATGTTCCAGTTACGATGAACTACATGTGGCGGGATCATGTGAACTGACAAATTCAATCTCCAGCACATGCTCCGTCGTCTTCTGGTGGAATCGACCTTCGAGTCTCTTCATCAAAACACTTTCACTCGAAACGGGAAGTGACAATAGATTCGTGGAAACGCAACTTCTCCACTTCAACCTTTGTTTACATGCAATGAGTCTCAAGATGGGATTTGGACTTTCTCACCTGAGTCATGTTGAGTGGTGCCCTGCCGAGCTGACTCAGATCCTTGTGTCCTCCGCCCAGGCCCAGACTGCCGATGGACGGCATCTGAGGAAGCGACACCGGCGGCCTGGGTATCTTGTTCAGTACTTCACCGAGGTTCATGCTGAAATCACTCTCAAATGTGTCGAGTACACTCGATGACCAAACGGCTGGACGAAGTGGTTCGGCCCAGCTGGTGTAGGGTATGAATCACAGAGTGAAAAATGAATGGGAAATTGCCCAAATGCGAAGTCGGCCTACAGATTATGCTCTCGTCTGATAGGACTGCAGGCGTGGGCAGAACGGCGCATAGGCGAGTGGAAGACGAGATCTAACTCTGTTGCTAACGCAAGCAGTGGGAGCATCATGAGACAGACGGGTGGGGTTTAGATCTGCCACGATGTCTCGATGGGCAACTGCACAACTGGCAACGGCCAATCAGCAGTTGAGTCTGCTGAAAGTAGGCATTGATCTGCTCTTCGTCTCGCCTTGGCTCGCCGTTGGCAAGCTCGATTGCACCAATCAGAGTGGACCAACGCCAAGGCATACCCTCGACCGACAGACGGAAACAGACGAAGTGAGGCTAGAGCTGGA